CCCCCCCCCCCACCCACCGGGGTGGAAATAGGTCTCATGGAAGGGTTGAGGTTGTCCGGTCGTGGCATTTCGAGAACATCGAGAGAGCTTTCCTTTTTTTATTTAAACAGATTTCATTTAAAAACGAATCAGCGAGAACGAAAACACACCAACTCGGAAAAATGAAAGTAATCAAGACACACACAAAACTGCACAGTAGATGAAGAAATCAGTCAAAGGAAAAGATTTTTTGGTACCGAAATACAAGCACTCAAAGAAATTTTTAAGGTCCAAGTTAGAACAGATGCGCTATCTTCAATGACCTTTATAAAAATTTACCATCTTTAAAAAAATTGAGCATTTTTGAGTTACCGAGTTGGTGTGTTTTCGATCTCACTGATTCAAATACCCTGGAGCTCTCTCATCTTTCGTAGAGTACCTGCCACAGTGGTCTTTAAGCGAAAAAAGAAAACAAAATGCGACGAATATGTACCCAAAATCGGTTTGCAGGGGGTCAATTGATGGTAGGTGTAGACTTAAAATAGCGAAAAATCAAAATCTTGACTAATCCTATTTTCGAATTATCGAAATTTGAAATGTTCATCGTAAACGCTGGGAAAAAAAACACATTGGATCTAGAGTCCAGACTCTTGAAAACATTGACAAGAAAAAAGACTCTTGATTCAATCAGATTTAAGCTTAAATCAAAAGTAAATCCGCTCAAATTAAGAGGTTTGGTTCTTGATTTAAGCTTAAATCTGATTGAATCAAGAGTAGTTTTTCTTGTCGATGTTTTTATGAGTCTGGACTCTAGATCCTGTTTTTTTTTTTTTTTTTNTTTTTTTTTTTTTTTTTTTTTTTTTTTTTTTTTTTTTTTTTTTTGGCCAGTGCTAGAGCTATCTCATCTTTTGTAGAGCATCTGCCATAATGGTCTTTAAGCGGAAAAAAAATGCGACGAAAATGCACCCGAAAACGGTTTGCAGGGGGTCAATCGATGGTATGTGTAGACGTAAAATAGCGTAAAATCAAAATCTTGACTGATCCTACTTTCGAATTATCGAAATTTGAAATGTTCATAGTAAATGCAAGTTTTCCACTGATTTTTATAAGGTATTTTATTTATTTGTGCACATGTCGTTACTTGTCCATTTGTCGATCGGCTCACGTCAATCGAGCACATTCCGACGGTGTAAGCAATCACATAACTCGGTTTGCGACTTCGCAGACTTCCTATCATACTTTATTTTTTAAACGGAAAACTACTCGACGACAATTCTTTAAAACTGTCGTGATTTTTCTTCTCTATGTGAAGAAAATTCTGCAAAAACTGCAAGAAATGCTGTCAATTTGCTCTCCTTTAACAAAATATTATAGAGGCGGAGATTTTCAGACACCGCAAACGAGTTATGTGATTGCCGACTTACACCGTCGATAGTCTCTTGTTGCGTGCAGACTTCCTAGCATACTCTTTTTTCAACTGAACAATTCGCCTTCTACTGCGTCTGCAGCAATTGTTGTTTCGAATATGTTGTGCGTGCTGATTTCAGCTGATTACATACTCGACTCTTTGCAGGCGTTTATGTGCACAAAGTGGCGCATTCTGTTGGAGAACGAACGAAATAGTGGTTGAACGGTTCATTCAATCTCACTTTTGTTGTTCCCCAACAGGGTGCTCCACTTTCGCACATAAAACGCCTTCAGACAGTCAAGTATGTGATGAGCTGAGATCAGCACGGATAACATAATCGTTTTTTTCGCTTCAAGACCACTGTGCTGCGTAGAAAGAGCAAGGACTTGTCGAGACGAAGCTCTTAGGATCGAAAAGAGCAGCAAACTTGCTGACACAAAAGCTAGCACTGCCAATCTTCAGATTCCAGCATTTAAGAGGTTTAGAGGACAAGGCGCATAAGTCCAGTTTTTTTTTTAAAAAAAATTGAGGTATTCATGACCTCAACTAAAACTAGTTTGATAGTACATTCTGTAAACAATTCACAACTAAAATCCAACCATAAAGCATCAAAAAGTGAGTTAAGCTCATTTCTGCCATGAGAATCCATGTGATTTTGAGACTTTAAACACGTATTTCTTAATACAGCAAAAACTGCACTTATGCGCCTTGTCCTCTAAGCCCCTCATTTAGGAGACTAGGAAATTTAGAAATCACTGTCTTTTGTTATAAAATAATATAATAAGTACAATACATAATATATGATAATAAAATAAGTACAATGCATTACTAGTATATTCACGTTGAATTGTCATCCTCGATTTACACCTTATTCACACTCAATCTATACCTTACAGAGGCATAACTCTAAAATTTAGACTCACAGAGCACTGTTCAAGGGCATTCTGGTAGCACTAAGCAAACCAGTCGTATTCACATGGAGAGTTTTGAGAGAAAAAATCACGACTTTGAAAAGAAACTCTGCAAACGTTCTCGACTCAATAAACAAACTTTCGAATGAAATTGTGCAACGGTGCCTGTGGCGGGGCGTGCTTTGCGATGTATCGATTACTCTGCCCTTAAACCTATGGAAAAGGACCGATGAACTCTGAACAGTGTGTCCGCAATGAGGACATTAATATTCGATTCTTTACTCTAGCTTCAAGTGGGGAAATATTGATAATCGATCATTCACGCCTCGCCACTGAACCATGCTTCCTTTGCTCTTGCTCCTTAATTATCTTATCCTGGGAAATCCAAAAGGAGAATCAAGTCTGAATCGCACTTTAAATTGGACGTATTTCTATCGAACGGAACTAAGCGCTATCGGGGGAGGAAGGTAGAGGGGGGCTTGAATTGGCGGCGAAGCCGGGCGTCAGGCTCATTCCGTCCTATACTCGCAATGCTTTTCCATGGCGCTCAGTTCCGTTTGATAGAACGCGCTATCCGGCATTCTAATTTCCTCAAAAAAAACTCAAATTGGCGCTTAGTTCCATTTGACAGAAATATGTCCAATTGGGCTTTGTCACGCCTGCAAGCGTGATATAGTGCAATGTGTGCATTTTAAAATTTTAACTAAATTTTAAATTACCTCTTCACGAAGCGGTATGGCTGTTTGTCTAACACGACTAAGGCCAAGTGATTTAATTGCACTTTAGAAGCAAATGACTTAGAGGCACTGGAAAAAAAAAACACATTGGATCTAGAGTCCTGACTCTTAAAAACATCGACAAGAAAAAGTACTCTTGATTCAATCAGAATCTAGCTTAAATCAAGAACCAAGCCTCTTAATTTAAGCGGATTTCGTTTTGATTCAAGCAAAAATCCGATTGAATCAAGAGTATTTTTTCTTGTCAATGTTTTCAAGAGTCTGGACTCTAGATCCAATCTGGGTTTCTTCCAGTGTGGATTTTTTGGCAGTTAAGAGGGTTGTCTAACTGGAAATAGTAAGCTCCTTCGTATCATACCGCATAAACACCATGAAGTTCAATAAGTCAGAAGTGTATGAATAAGGGCGGGTGTTTCATCTATGAGGCTAGTCTGCAACTTGCTAACTGCAAGGAGCGCCTTCAACTGCGCGGTGTACCACACATCAAGCATCTTGCTACTTCTGTTTGTGCGCCCGCATGCAAGGATTGCAGGGCATGGAACGAAATAGAGCACCTGGAGAGAGTACAAATATGAAAATCTCATTGAAGCAAAAAAAAATTTTGACTCTAATTGAAAATTTTTTGGAATTACTTGGCTTTGTTTTTCCCGCGAAATGGTGTGGATCCAACACCATTTCTCCACCTTGTTACATACAGTTCGGGCCATTTCTTAGAGTTTTTTTACACACTGGAAGAAAAACACATTGGATCTAGAGTCCAGACTCTTAAAAACATCGACAAGAAAAAATACTCTTGATTCAATCAGATTTAAGCTTAAATCAAGAACCAAGCCTCTTAATTTGAGCGGATTTCCTTTTGATTTAAGCTTAAATCTGCTGGAATCAAGAGTCTTTTTTCTTGTCAATGTTTTCAAGAGTCTGGCCTCTAGATCCAATGTGTTTTTTTCCAGTGCTCGTCAAATAGTTCTGAAGTTCTATCTTGACACTATTTCAGTAAATATTTAGGAGCACTGTTTTTTCTCACCCTCTTTTTCCCCCTCTCCTTCTGTTTTCCTTCTTTACCCCTTTTTTTGGCCCGAGGGGGGTGATGCCCCCCTCCCCCCCTGGATCCGCCACTGCGACCACGTTAACAACGAGACCTGACAATGAGTCGTGGATTCATTGAAAGTGAGTAACGAGATGCCGAAGAGATTAAAAGCAACGTCCAGTTTTTTTTTCACCGCACCGTGAGCCTCCCTCGCTGCACTGAAAAAAAATCTCGGTGTATTTACTACGAAAAGGGTAAAATTACTAAGAATTCAGGGTTCTATTTGAACCCAGTTTTTCTTGGTAAAATTACCATTTATGGAATTGGTAATTTTACCGAGAAATCTCGGTAAAATTATTGACTTTCTCGGTAATTTTACTGGACCCCGGTGAAAACGCCAATATTTTTTATCGACTGTGGTATAGAATTACCGAGATAAAATGGCAAAGTTCCCGGGAATTGATTACAACAAAAGTGGTATTCTTACCTGAAAAAAACAGTAGAAATGCCGGTTTTTAGGTAAGCTTACAGGTCTGTCTTGGTAAAATTACCAAAAGTGAGATGGTAAAGGTACCAACGGACCTTGGTAAAAACGCCGAGAATTTTTTTTGCAGTGCGAGGGGGGTGATGCCCCCCTCCCCCTGGATCCGCCACTGCGACCGTGTTAACAACGAGAACTGACAATGAGTCGCGGATTCATTGAAAGTGAGTAACGAGATGCCGAAGAGATTAAAAGCAACGTCCAGTTTTTTTTTTCACCGCACCGTGAGCCTCCCTCGCTGATCGCAGCTTTTGCCGCGATGGAAAAAGGCCCGCAAAGGGGGAATCTAATTTTGTGGAAACCCGCGGTTGGCAAATAAAAACAGGGGCGTCTTTTATCCCCGTAGAATCAAATTATTTCGGGCTCATTGGAGTTAATGGTTTATGGCCCCACTGTTTAATGGAATTGACTCCGCAGTTGATGCCTCGGCCCTCGGGTCGCAAACGGATTAATCCGACCCGCGTCGCTCTGACCGTGGCTTTGCGACTTCAGTTTTTGACCGCGGAATCGAGATTTTAATACTCCTGGATATTTTTTTTTTATCTGGATATATTACACGGGAAAAAAGTAAACGTTGATTTAGCATTTAAACTGTTGAGAAAAAGTCAGTCAAGTTTCAAAGGCTGATTTTACAATACAAAAATGCTAACTCAACATTTGAATTTTTTCATTATACTGTGGGCGTGCTTCCAGGACTTTATGTCCACCTACCTTTCGTCCATTAAATAAATGTCCACCGCTATTTATGTCCACTAAACGTTAAGTCCAGTCTTTATTAAGTCCACATGATTTAATGTCCAACCATGAATATGTCCAAAATTGTCCAAATTGTGGACATGTTATGTCCACATTTTTTTTCTTCTCATTTAAATGACAGGAACCACCTCAAAAATAAATGCATACTACTACTACCTTCATTCTTAAAAACATTTCATTCATGAATCAAGTCATGAAAGAGAACAGACTCTAAGAGCAGATAAAAACGTATGTTCATGTGTACACTGTGCGGATATGATAAGATGAGCATTTTTCAGTAACAGATGCAGTCAAAATTGAAAGTCCTTTTTAACTAGTTATTTCGTGCGCCTTCAATCTTGTAGGATACTGTGCAACGCCTCTGATGCGAAATAGTTGCTTAAAGCGTTGCGGCGCGGCAGGCAATCAGCGCAGAACGCGCATGGGCGCCTACAAACCTAAGAGGATACTTCACGTGTTGCGCAATGCGTGAAGTATCCCGTTAGGTTTGTAGGCGCCGGAGCGCGTTCTGCGCTGCTAACACACCGCTCAGCTCTGTGTTAGGCTCTAATATTTAAACTCCCGGAGTCAGCGTTTTTCAACTCATGATTTTGAAATGTTTGCACTCTCTGCATTGATTGTTCCCTTTTAAACTGATGAAAAAGAAATATGTACTACTGGAAAATATAATGTATTTTCTGTAAATATAATAGTGGTTCCGTGTCAATGATGTTAATGACTTCCAAAGCATTCAAATTTATTATTTTATGTTTTGGGCTTTTACTGTGCTGCAGCGTGGTGTAAGCGCAACCAAACGCTCAAAATTGGACGTATTTGACTCATGGAAGTCGATGTACAAATAAGTTAAACACAAAAAATTGCGTGCTTCTTAGTTTTTTTCCTCTTTTATTAATTTTTGTATAGTCTCTTTCATCACAACTGCCATTGCTTGGAAAAGGTTTTACAAATATTTACCACGTTTTAAGAATTTAAATGTTTTTAAAATGAAGTAATCAATTTCATTAAAAAAAAAAGAATGTACGTTTAAGGCATATTTTACATCGGAAATTTCAATGATGGAAATGAAACCAAGTATTTACCAAAGACAATTTGAAAAGATTAATCAAAAGAAGAAATTAACATTTCATTTAAAATATGAGTTACGATAACAACACCTCATTCTCTCTTCATTTTCTCATTTCGGTATTGTCACTATAATTTTACACACGGACTAAAATATGACGCTTAAATTTGATCTTAGTGGACTTTACATTTTTGGACTTAACTTAGTGGACGTGTAAGTAATGGACTTAACAATAGTGTCGGCTTCAGAACTGTGGACGAAAAGTCTATGGACGTAAAAAAAGTGGACATAAAGTCCGTGTACCGTGGGCGTAGTTAAGTCAGTATTTTTTTTTTTTTTAAGTAAAATCAGCATTTAAAACTTTTCGGGCGTTTTTTTTTAACAATATAAAATGCTAAATCAACTTTAACTTTTTTCTCATGTAATGTAACGCAAACAACCAATCAGGCCCACCACAAGGGGGGGGATACTGGGTCCCTGGTACCGGGGCCCGGGCCCCGGAGGGGGCCCGTGTTACCCGTGAGAAACCACTACGAATTCACATGCAACCCTTGTTTCGTAAGAAAAAGTGAAAAATTTACCCTACAAATTTCGCAAAAGGTGAAAAGATTTTCAGAAACATGCTGGGACACTCTAGAATTCTTCTTAAATTTTCAAAGAAGTATACTTCTTGGAAAATTTCTATCTATTTTCAAGATTTTCAGTACAGAGGGATATTTTTAGTAACCGCGTTTCATTTTCTTCCGTCGTCAGATGCTAAGAGTCTCCAGTCTGGGCATCCTCGACTTCAAGGACTCATGACTCAACTCCCTTGCCATAGACAAACGAATGGAGAGTCCAGGGGGGCCTGGCCCTCTTAGAGCTGAAAATAGTATCATATGCCCCCCCCCAAAAAAAAATAAAAATTTTCCAGATGTTTTGAATGCAACAATTCGCAAGTATTTTGTGCTGTAAGTAGAAAAAAAAACATAATTATTCCGCAGAAATTGATGGAAAAATTCTTTATGGAAGCTTCAAAATGCGTCCGATTAGTCGTATAAATTCTAAAATCTCTCGGGGGATGCCCTTCGCCCCCCCCCCTCCGTGCTTGGGGCCCGGACCTTAAAACTGGTACCAGGGCCCGAGGTGGGATGTGGCGGGCCTGCAACCAATCCTCCGTCATAAATGTTAACCCTCCGACCTAAATATTCTCGTTTGTTATGGTTCGCTCTAGATATTTAATCGGCCAAGTTTTCTAATTTTTTCGGCTAACACACGTAATAACTTTTAAAAAAGCCCGCTATCATTGAAATTTTGAAATGTGATCCAGACAGTATTCATTCGAGGGGGTAAAGCACCCGGTGGGATTTGGGCCGCATAGTGGCCAGGGGGCACTCCTCAGTAATCTCTAAAGTTAACATTCACAGAGGTGTGTTTTTGTTTATGTATAAGTCGAGATAACCTTTGTAATTGAATTCGAACTTGTATGACACTGCAATGTTGAAGTCACAGTGGGAGACCTATCCAATCTATTGCGAAACATACTCAACAATAAAGTGACTTTTGCTGATCTTTTGGACCCGGAGCGTTGACCACTGAGCAGAGACCGCAGTTGTTGCACCTCTCCTTACAATAAAAAAAAAATACTAAAAATGTGGCTCGAGCTGCATGTAAACAAGGTGGTAAAATAGTAGGTAAGTAGTCACATTTTTTACTGTAATCGAAGTTGTTTGGCCTTGATGGAGATGTTGCATGTGTGAGGGATTTGCGATATGACTGTTGTTTCTTATGTAAAAGTTTGCGAGAAACACGATGGTGCCACTGGTTTTCTCTGAAATCATCTCCCAAGCTCAAAAAAAGCTCTTAAAGTGAGGCCAAAATGGAGGGGATAGGTATCCCGTCCTACCCTGAGAGTCCACCTCTACATCAAAACAAACTCTCCATGCAAAGATAGGGAGCAAATACATTGACAGGGCTGCCACTTCATTTGGGGACTCCAAAACTGAAAACACGGCAACCCTGCTAATGTGTTTGCTCCCTATATTTTTATGGAGAGTTTGTTTTGATGTAGAGGTGGACTCTCAGGGTAGGGCGGGATATCCCCTCCATTTTGGCCTCACTTTGAGAGCTTTTTTTGAGCTTGGGAGTTGATTTCAGAGAAAACCAGTGGCACCATCGTGTTTCTCGC